CAGGTGTACCTTTGTGCGTCATGACATCGACGGATAAGCCCATAGTGGTGACAATGGGAGTGCAGTTACACTTTTCAATCCGTCAATGCTATGACGCAGAAAGGTACACCTGGACAATTCTCATTGTGATAAACCCAACCACCACCACCTTGGTTAAAGTCTCGAGTATTGCGGTTATTGTCCCTGCTCGTTATAAAATGCCACTCCAATCGCACAGTGATTCACTTGGCCTGACGAAGCGTTTATGTCAAAAGCAAAACGTTGCCCAACAACTATACCAACCGATTGTTTCCAAACCTCTCTGAACTCATGACTTCTCGATCGGTTCCAAGTATCTTCCAAGATTTTGAAACTATGACAGGGGCTTGGCAAACTTCGTGGCTGCAGACTTCATTGGGTTGGGGCGAATGTCATTGGCTCCCATGAAGAGTTATGATCGCGCAATAACAAAGATTTCCTTACACAGTTGCTGGGTTGAAAATTAAATGTGTAAACCCTGGGGTCGGTAATGTGCTTGACGGTATGTGACAGGGGCAGGCTGAGAGCTCGAAAATCGGGGCGTATTGCAGCATTAGATCCTCGTACCCAGGGCAGCAATGGCAGTCAAGATAGTCTTGAGATGGCGTTCATAATTTGTGTAAACCAGTTTCAGTGTCCACAGCACTAGCCACCTTCCTTCACAAGGAGGCAGATCTCGTATGCGTGCGACACATTTCATCATACTCCGCAGGATGAAAACTCTGCAAAAGACAGCTTGCTACACAACGCAGCCAGATGTTGCAAGCATCAGTCAGCCGAAATCAGATTGAAGCCGTTCGTGCCTGGCAGTAAGAAGACTTGGACAGGACTGGTGACTTTCTATCCCTGAAGTGTATGTTCCTCAATTCTCAATCTCAGCTAATGTTTTCAACAAAACACCCCCAAAACATCACGCCATTTTCTTTCCTATTGCTTAATATGACATATAGTAATCACAAGCATCATTTGCTAAACATGCTTGCACAGTTGAATAGTTCAAGCACAATCCTCATCACGGAAACATGGTGCCTTACTATAGCATAAGAATCAACTCTGGCGACCCCCAAGTACCAACTATTTCGCAAAGATCGCTGCATAAGACGTGGATGCGGATGTAGTGTACATCTCCACTGAATATTGACAGTGATACCAGTTGACCACCATGAGCCAGAAAACGTCCCCGAATCTCTGTGCTGACTTGTCACCGGTACTTTCCATGATATACTGCACAGCTGCAACCACACACAACCCTCCGAATGCCCCAACTGGTGTTCTGTATTTCCCTTTTGCATCTGCGCTGCCGTACGAACAGAAAACAATGGCTAGGGGCTTCACGAAAATATTTTGGTCACCAAATTCATCCACATTAGTACACACAGAATGGGTTAGCCAAGGTATTTGATTTAAGGCTCATAATTGGAATCATTCATTCACTAGACACATTAGCTGCAGGTGGAAAACACTTCAGCTACAGTGTCGCATATATTTGGAATCGACCTGCTGGACTGTCTCCCTGGTAGTGACCACAAAATGCCACAATTTATTTTCGGTACCAAAATAAACGTCAACCTGGACCAGCTAACAAAATATTCCATCCATTAGTTAGGCACATCCCCAACATTTGGTCAGATCTTCCGATTGAAATGCATTCTTCTCTCAACCAGTATTTGCTTTGCAGTAGTAGCAGTTCTACGCTAACATTGACCATGCCATAACCAATCTTACTCTACAAAGTAAACGATTTATCTACTTACAAAAGAAATAGTCCTCAGAAAATGCTCTACAAAAGGGGCTAAAGACAAAGAAACTAGCTGCAACTCTGTGTCGTAGAACCAACAACAGCTCTTCCCCCTTTCACATGACTCTTGAATGTACATGATAAAGCCGTCAGCGACCCACTTTCCATTTGTAAGGTGTTTTGTGCCTTCTTTGCTGTCTCCATGATCTTTGAATCTGACCCGATACCTGAATGCCCTCAAACCATAACGGCCATAAGCTTAAACGATGTCGAGATTTCGCTCAATATTATTCAGCAACTAATGAAAACCATCAAAACTCAAGCTGGATTCAGACAGCATCCCCTTAACTGCCATTAACATGAGTGAACCCGACTTATCATCATGTTCACTTCGTCGCAACAAACTAGCCATTTTCCAGATCAAAAAAGCGCCAATTACCGACAGATTCAGCTTACTCCTCATCATCATCATACTGCTTAAATAATAAAACCAAAACTCTGATGGAATTTCTTAATTCTTAGAACCTGTTTAACACATTCCAATATGGTCTCCTCGATAGACACTCCTAAACGACCTTAACTAAACTGCAGAAGCCATAAACAGGGTTTTACAATTATAATTTGGTGTGTTTGTGTACCACACAAACGGCTATTGAAAAAGATTTTTGGAGTCTGGAACCTACTTTTAATCTGACTTTCTTCCAATCATAACAAGCAAACTCAAATAGTCACTGGGTGGTCAACCTCCTTCCCAACGCCTAGTCACTACTGGTGTCATCCAGGGACGTGTACTTGGCCCTTTGCTTTTGCTTCTTTCTATAAACGATAGTGGCATATTTTTCAGAAGGTTTTGAATACCGATTTGTATTCAAACTCTTCTGAAATCATGAGATCCCAGTCAGTTACAAGCATATTCCGAGAGATTAGACATGTTCAGCAAAAAATTGCCAACTCGCTATTTTTGCTGATGATATCAAGATTGTTTATAAGCTCTGGTATGTTGTGATTCAGAACATACTGATTCCACTTTAAGATGATCTTCACTCTCGGGATGGAATGGTCCGACACGCGGTTGATGAAATTTTCGTCTAACAAACATAACGTTCTATGGTTTCTCGATCCCCGAAGGATCAGTTAAACCTAACAACACAAGTATCTCCGTACGGTAGTCTACGCGTGATCTTGGGACCCGGCACTTTTCCAACCTCCGCTTCTCTGAACAAGCCCAAGCCAAACAATCCGTGGCTAACATATGTCACGAAACTCTCACTCGTCCTATCTTTAAATACTGCAACTTCATCTACATCAACATGCGGAAGATGGACAGGAGAGCTTTGGAAAAGTTACAGAGATCATTCCACAATCGTTTGTTCAGTGGCGCACGTCTACCTAAATCACCATAAACGTTGTAAGGAGTATCATCACATCGAGCCCCTCTGGCTGCGGCGTCTGAAGTAAAACATGATGATTCGACATAATCTGTTACGTCAGAAAAGGTACTCATACCTGACTAATTTAGATATAAGGCAAGATACCCATCGAAGCGCTACTTGTACTACTGGGGATAGAACAACCATGCGCTCTAATCTTTCCGCATCAGATTCGCCGTCTTTGGGAACAGCTTGCCAACCACACAATCAGGACATATGAAAACCCGACATAATTACACATCAAATTCGATAGTTTCTTTGATACGGATGTGGTATTGTCCATGTTCTCAGGTGACAAATCACCTGATAATTTATTCCAGGATGGGTCAAAAATAGCTAAAATCGTCATCAATATGAACATTTGCAAAAGAATGATCATTTCTGTATATGATGATGATGATCCCATTTTAGGGAGGGTTTCTCGTAATTTAGAGAGAGATGTGCCTACATCATATGAGAGATATCATGCCCACCGTATGTCTGCAATCTGACTAGCTTGGCGTGCGCTGCTGTTTGCCAATAGTCCACTTAAATAGGTGAAACTTAGAAGCCAGCCGATGACATGATAAAAGAGAATGAACAAACTCACTGGAAGGCTAAGTAGGGTTGATAGTTGGGAAATAAATTGAGGTGCTGGTAGCTAGGCTTGGGAGTCGAGATGTCTATCTGCTTACTGAGCTGGGCAATTTGCTTGTGAACGTGTCGTTACCAATCGAGATGAAATATTCAGTGCATAGTAGCAATAACTGTAAAAAAAAGTATCAGAAGTACGCCGGTACGCAGTACCGACACCTCATTGCCGCGCAACCACTACGGGTCGCACGTGGGATAAGAATACTGCGAGGGTCGCCCTGCCCCTACGCAAGCTCGAAGCCGCGCCGCCAGATTACGAAACAAGCTCGTTACGCTTTGGTTAGGGGCCGCCTGGCAATAACTGCACTTGTAGGCAAGGGGCTTCGAGCAAATCCAGGGGTGGATAACACCGGCTACTCGGCTGCTTCTTATGCACATGTGGGACTTCACCAAACGTGCTTCAATCCAGTTGGTTGTCAATGATTTTATTCGGGAATGCCTGAGCGAGGTTTGTTACAACGTGGGATGTATCACTTCAATCCCAATGGTGCGAGACATTTTGGCAGCGAACGCGGTTACAATAGCAAATCTGACGTTTCCTGTATTTTCAGACAGTTTTGGATTCGCCTGAATTCCTTGTTTCTCAGTTGTCAGTAGACAAGTTCGAGATTGAGCCACACATTCGCGGAGTTCTTTAGAGAAAAATAGGCTCCAAGAAACTTTCTTCCAGCTGTACGCACTGAAGATGTCACCTCGATGTGTGACGAAATGTCTGCAAGCAAATTGTCCACCTCGGTGAAACGATCATGTCGGGGTTGGATGGTGGCCACTAGATGATCCACAGCAGTGACCAGACGTTTCATCTAACATGGCGTAATCGCAGTATCAGCGGTGCTTACATAAATGCCCATTCAACATGACGATGTGACTTTGCATCTATTCCTCAGTGACTAACTGAGCAGGACATCGGTCAAAATCGAGATGTATTTAATGTGTTCGATATAGATACCAAGGTGCTGCATCTTTTCAGTGGGATAGTGGATAAAAGGGCTCAATATGAGCCAAAGATAACGCGCAACGAACCAGTATGTCTTTGCACATAGCAAAAGAGAGATAAAAGATGGTAGGCTGCCAATAAGAGTAATTGATTTAGACTAAACGGTTCCAGGGTTTTAAAAAAGTTAAACGATAGAGACCCCTTCGAAAAAGCAGATGAAAGTGGGACACCGAAGGAGACTCACCGCTTCCGGGTGTGAATAAAGATGGCCCTCAGGACCGCGAATGCCGGAAGCGAAGATTTCGTCTTGCAGTATGCTGATTAACCTCCCATTCTCAGCGTGGACCATGGACAAAGCACCGAGCTCCTTGCATAGACGAAAAACCCGGTAAACTTCATCATCTTCCAACATCAAATCGGAGTAGGATAAGAAAACTTTGAACGAATTGACGCCCCTATCCTTCACCAGGGTAGCCATTTCTTTGGTGACAGTTCCATCCAAATGTGGGATAATCACGTGCAGCGCATAGTCGCAGCATACTTTGGCATCGGCCATCTCACGGCATTCATCGTAAGCCTTCAACAGTGATGAGCCTTTTGTGGGGCACACAAAATCGACTAGAAGGGTGATGAGAGAATGGCACACTATAAAAGGAACTCACTGATGGTGGTGGTGCCCCCGGCGATTGCCGCGCGAGTGCCAGTGTAAAAGTCATCAGAGCTAACACATCCCATAAAGCTCATCTGCATGTGTGTATGTGGGTCGACACCGCCTAAACAAGGGTTAGGTCCGCGAAAATTTAATGAGACTGACCTGGGAGAACCATTTTACCGACAGCATCGATAACTCGAACTCCACCGGGAATAGTCAGCTGCGTGCCGACCTGCCTACATGAGACAGGAAACGAATAATCTCCGGACTTACTTGATAATACCATCTTCAATGTAGACATCCGCATAAAACGCTCTGTCGTCGTTTACGATCTTGCCACCTTTAATGAGCAATCGATTCTGCGAGCTCTGATCAGAGTGTGACGCCGAGAAGTTATATCTCACTTGTAAATGAATCGGAAGCTTCTTCAAGCCAACTTGAATTTTGGAGTCGTTCATGTTTGGTAGAGCTGGAAAATTAGAGAAATGAATACATCCATATCGTCGCAAAATTACATGAACACCAGCTATTAAAATGATAAGATAAGCAGTGAGAGAGAGAGAGAAGAGAGAGAGAGATAAGCAGAGAGAGGAGAAGTATGCAGTTGAAGTACGTAAAAAAAATCACCGCCAACAGCAACAGCACGAAAGGGAAACAATAAAATAGAAAGTCAGTAAGGCGGTATTCCTGCACTTGTCATGTCCATGGCAGCAAGACTGGACCTTAACATGGCGTGATGGTTTACGTATCTCCGTGGCCCATTGAGCTACGCCGGGTGCCACTTTCTAAGTGTCTTCACAGCCACCCATACCATACACGTCAATGGTTAGGGGTCAGACTAACTCAGTCTCACAATCCAGTTCTCTTTGAAGGTTAGGGAGAGGTCGATGGCCCTATTCCTTTAAAACTAGCCATGGGAAACAACTGATCTACGGGTTATAAGCTCACGGCTCGATTGAGGTACAGCACGAGCACCATTCATTGTCTCTGACGATGGGATAGCACCTTCGGCTGATTGGCCGAACAACCTCGTGGTGCCAGCTGGGTGGTACAAGATTATCTCGTTCCAGCGAATCGTTCGGCGGCAGTGTTCCAATACGTGATGGGTTGTCGCTATGGCAAGCGTTCTCCCAACAAAAGCCACATATGTCCGCTTACCAACGTTGTGGCGTGGCTGATGTGACTCGCCATTAAATAAAGTCATTAACCCTTGCCCCTTTCTGAGGGGCCCCAGTCCTTTGCAGGAGCTAAAGGCGTATGAAACACCTGTTTGGTCACCGGCTCCCAACGGGTTGTGATACCCTCATATCGCCCTGCTGTCTTGTAGGTTAGATCCTTGGTCAAAGGCTCGGGGTAGAGCCCTTTAAGACAACCCTCTACTTCGGCCTGGGCACGTGGGTAGTATCACGCCCACTGATGAGTCATGGACGAACAATACTACTACTTGCACTTTTGCTATGTCTACCTATTCTACTGTCCCTACTGCTGAATCTGCACTCACATATCGTCCCACGTCCAGTTATTCAACTACACTTATGTCCTCCCCGGTCACCGCCTACAGCAGCTCAGTGGTCGCACCTGACGGAAGTCAGAGTCAAACTCTTAGTGTTCGATGCCTGGTAACCACAGTCATCTCACACTCCACCGAAGTTCTAGCTTCTCTTCGAGCTGGTTCTCCACTCAGCCTCACAGCGTTCAACGTTCGCACTCTGATGCAGATAGGAGGGCAAGAATGATTGACCCGCCCTCTTGAGACGCTCTCGGTAGACATCTGTTGCCTATCAGAAAACAGATTGTAAGTCTCCACTACGGTTATCAGAATGGCCTATCCTGCAAAACCTGACGTTAAATACCATTCACGCCTTGCCAGTGACCCAGAGGCGGCCGATTCTGGCCAGGCTCGTGTTGGGGTTGCACTGAGTGACAGGAATGAGACAGCTCTGCTTGGCTGGATCCCAGTCAACAGTCGGATATGTGCAGTCAGACTACGAGCTTCATATAAGTTAAGTAAGCGTCGAGATGTTACACGCGCATTATTTGACGTCCCCGCATACGCTCATACAAAAATGCAGCCCGGATGCAGTCAAGGATTGCTTTTGCCAACAACTGCATGACTTGCTTTCCGTTACAAAGACTGATGATGTGGTCATTCTCACCGGAGATTTAAATGCACTAGTGGACCGCTTGCCACCAAGCGAGCACCATCTTGGGGGTAGTTTTAACTTCGATAGCCGTCGATCAGACAACGGAGTTCAGTCAGTTACTTAACTATGATCCGAGCACCGAAGTAAGACCGGTAGAATAATGGGGTTGAATGCAAATAGAATGTAAAGAAAACGAAAGCAAGAAGGAAACGCGTTAGACTAAGCAAAATGAAACCAAAATTAACAACCAGGTGAAATTAACAGCCCGAATGCAGGAACGGACTGAGATCGTGACTGCGCCATGTCTGACACGGTCTCCAACCATTGGTGTGGACGGTACCGAGGCCCCCATTCACAAAGACGGTATGTATCAGCCACCAAGTCTCGGTCAATTTCCTAATGCCTACATGCCATGTCACGGATTGGACACCTCGCGGTATGGCCCAAGCTGAGGCAGCCACGGCATATAATGCCCACCGAGAAAACCGATCAACGGGTATATGGAAAACATGGCCCAGCCAAAACAAGAGACTGTTTTATCAAACACCTAAGTGAGGCGTCAAAAGGTTTCTTGTCAAAAAGCAACTGGCAAATCACAGCACTGCTCGCCCATTGTTCCCAATAAACGTCAGCAATACTCCGCAAGCACCAGTGGTCAAACACGGCAAAGCGTTTAATGTCTTCACCACGAAATGGCCAGGTCGTTGATCTATACAGTATCAAAGGTCTTATCGCAGCGTTATACATCCTATCTTTCCCTGACAAGTGGATATCCCGCCATCTGCAGATAGTTGAGCCTCTGGAAAGTCACTCGGGCCTTGCCGAGACGCGTAGTAATTTAATAAGTGATGTGACCACCAGAGGTGATACAGCTACTAAGGTAAATGAACCGATCCACCACTTCCAGTGGCTGTTCGGAAAGAGATAAAACAGGAAGCGTATTGATCCAGCCCTGCAAAAGCAGTTTGCAGCTTGAAGATGCAAAGTACATGCCGAAGCGTGAAGCGCTAGGCACAGGTCTGTGCAGTAGTGTTTGCTAACCAATACATCAGACCTAAGGAGAACTATGTCGTCCGCATACTCCAAGTTTGTCAGTCGGTCGCGTGGTAGAACTTCCACTCCATAATAGTCTGAAAGAACCAAGTCATACATGATCATTTCGATCACAAAGTTGAAAAATAAATGAGATACAGGAAGATGCTGGCGAACCTTACTTGTTGTAAAGAACTCAGGAGAGTTTCCCTTAGACCCTTGCACGGGTTCTGGAGTCACCGTAGAGGGAGCTCAGGATGGAAAGGAATTTAGCTGGCATATCCTTCATGGATAGACAGCGCCACAAGCTGCCGCGGTCAAGAGAGTCGAAGGCGGCTTCGAAGTCAAGGAAAACCACCAGTCGGTCGTCTGTATGTGCGTCACTGCTCAGACAATGGAGACAGACTACTGAGTCTTAGTTTTGATCAAGACTTGCTTTTTCAAGCACCAGTTTTTGACACACGAAGAGATAGACTACTACCTGGCGCCCGCCTTCTTAAACGCAAGAGTGGTCCCAACTTGATCACGTAGGGATAAACTACAGATGTCGTGGAAGCGTATCAGACTGCTGTTCGTGCTGGTCAACTTGTTTAGACTCCGAGCACGCAATGGTTCGCGCTAAGTTTTGCATGCGTTTCGGGAGACCGCCTAGGCGTACGCACTACCGACGGTGTAAAAGACCTACAAGACCCTACGACGTTGGCCAAATATTAGGCCGCCCTGTTAACACTGCTTATCCCAGCTTCCGATGACGATCTGAATCCACAGTGGATGCGAATCAAAAATACCTTAGTTCCTGCTAGCACTGATAGTTGCGGAACAACCCATCACCCGCCGGAAAGCTGGATCATCGCTGTCTCTTTATCGCTGATGGACAGACGCTGCTCAGTCCCGGCCGATTAAAGCTGTAGTAAAGAAAGATGATCCCTAGACCGAGAGTTACGTAGTCAACAAAAGGTCCATGAAATCTGCGGGAGTAAAAGTGCTAGAGAGATGGAACTCGCTAACCTTTCTGGTAATACCAGGTCTTTTCATCTTATCCGAGCAACCGAAGATTTCCGATGTGTCACCATCATCATCAACAGCAGTACATCAGACATTTGAATTGATACTTCGTTGTCATACAACCATGATGAGCTGTGGAATAAAGAAAAATAAGAGGGAGAGAAGGGGGACTTACCTGTAAAGCATAATGCCCCGAGCAAATATTCAGGGTCAAGGCGCCTACACCTTGTGTTAACAACAAACCGTCATAAATAACTGGCTCTCGTGCAAAGATAAGGCGGCATCGGCGAGACAGTTTCCTTGCGGCTTTGACTGTCACGCATCATAATCAGCCATTACCCCGCAGATAACTCAGCACCAAACACACTTAAAACAGGAAATCTGATTAGGAGACGGCAGTAGACGCGCCACTGGTGTCGGTTGCCAGCCATGTCCTGCAAAGTCTTGAGCCAAACACAAGGCGAGTCACGTGGACTCCAGCCCGGAAGGCGAGACGAACCAACGACACCCAGTTTGGTGGTGAGTGACTTCATTTCCCGCTGCCAACTCAACTTCTGTCCACCTCGAGTTGTGAGACACCCCACAACTGGCAGACTAAACAAGGCCGTTTCAGGTAAGCGGTGACCAGGCCTATGTAGCACGTGCCCAAGCCAACGTAATTTAATAAGTGTTATCTGTTGTTCCAAGGAACTCGCAAGATTATCACTACGTAGTACTCGCCTACGCACATCATTGTCGTGGACACGCTGGTGCCATCCGATACCAGATAACGATGATCAAAGACTTGAAGGCGCCTCAGACCTTCAGACCGAAGGGGTCAAGTCTCACTTTCATAGAGCAGGACGGCCCTCACTGTGGCCTTGTATACACGGCTTTTGAAAGGGAGAGAGCCTCCTTTCTGTCGCCAAAAATGCCGCAGTTTCGAGGAGACAGTTCTGGTTTTTGCAATGCGTGAACTGACTTCAGTTTCTGTGCGCCCATCGCTGTTGATGCAGCTGCCAAGGTAAGTGAATTGATCAACCATCCCGAGTTCCTCGATATCAAGGGTTGAGAGATCATCGAATGGCTCGTGGTGTTGCAGTAACACCTTATACTTTGGAGGTGCGAAGCGCATACCAAATAATGGGACCACATTAGACAGGCTATTTAGGATTTATTGTGCCGCCGTAACATCGTCAAAACGCAAGACGAGATAATCGAGATCAATTAGCCGTTCACCAGAGCACGCCAACGCTTGCCTCGTGAGGCTCCGAAAGGGAACACTCCATGGTGGAGTGCATGAAGCATTT